AAAATACGGCGATGATACTTGAAAATGGAGTTGTGTCCAACAGCAGACAAAATAAATATAATTAAGTGATCGTAAAAGATTTCAGTTTAATTATTTTCTAGAAAAGTGCACACCGTTGAGATTTTAATAAAGGTCATTGAAATATGAATAAAATGAAAGGTCAGTTTTCACGACGTACTGCACAGTGCACATTGCATTGGTGGAGGGGGCACTAAAGCAGGTTATGGCTCCAAGGTATATGACCACCAGCAGTACCAGACGAATCTCGCATCATGTCGTCCGTTAGAGCGCCACGAGCTCATCAAACAATTTTTCAGGATCCGGTACTTCCTAAATGCTATCGCACAAACATCATAAGTTGTTCGTACGCTAGAGAATATCAAATGACGAATAACTCCTTCAAGACCAGATTTAAAACTATATTACACCGCCCCAGTGCTCCTATAGAACAGAAATCAAAGCGCTGCTCAACACAACAATTATTGTCTTGTAGAGTAAAACTGGCGTGATGTGAGAAACAGTTATTACCATTCAGGGCAAAATTTTATTCCAATATAACCAAGTTCACGATCATTTGTTCCGCCACCTTCAATTTCAGTTCCCGCTATGTCTGGTTCACTGCTAGGCATACCGCCAACGACGATTGCAAACACTTGATCCCTACGCACTCGATGATAGTACGTAGTGTGCCATTTTAAGTTTGCAAGTTATAATGATAGTTGTGAACAATTAACTGAAATATACAGCAAGTACGATTCTCACAGAGGTTTTCACAAGAGCAGTCTTAAGGGAACCGCTCACTTGTTTGTAATTAAAATCCACAATGTTTATTGCATCTTAGTATGTATTTTTTAACTTCTTATCTTCGTAAGGCATGAAAGTTAATCCTGATTATGCTGCGTTAGTAAACAGCGAAATGGATAACACGTCATGGACAAAATATATCCCTAGTGTTCTTTGGAACCTCTCGATACCGCCAATGAATATATCACAATAAAAAAAATAATACCGGATTGAAACGGCAAAACTGCACAGTGTGAAGAAAAAAAACCAATTTCTCATTTTACACCACCAGCTCTACTGTACTGCTCCTTTGCTTCTAGACGGCTAGGGGGAACTATTTAAACTAGCCACGGTTCCATCTTATTCAGTGACTGTATCTCAAATTTGGGTTGCTAATGTAAAGTTAGAAATGAATTTTTCTTTCTTTATACTGTGCATTTTCGTTCTTTCAA